CGGGCGGCGTCCCCACCCCCTCCGCGGTGCCCCCTCTGTGCGTCCCTCCCCGTGGCCGGCCGCGGAGCCCAGCGCGGGCCTGGGGGCGGGGCGGGGGCCCGGCGCTGAGCGCGGTTCCGCCTGCGCTCGCCCACTCCCCTCAGCGCTCAGCCGTCGGAAGAGGAAGGAACAAAAGGTCCCGGGCCCCTGGCTCTGACGGGGCGGGACCTGGCGCTTGGTGCAGGTAAAGCCGGAGCGCCCGCGGGCCTCGGGCAGGGGTGTGCTCGGCCGGTCACGTGGCCGCGGCCGGGTGGGGTGTGGCGGGCCGCGGCGTGCGGGCCGGGGTCGGCGCTTTGGGTGAGCTGCAGCCTCAGCCCAGCCCTTCCCGGGGCCGGCGGAGGCGCCTGCTCTGCGCGGATCAGATTTCCAAAGGGCCCCGGGAGCTCGGGCTGCAGGAGTAGTTGGGGAGTCGAGTTAGAAGCGTGTGCTACTTTGTTTCCACTTTTCTTTCTTCTTGTTTTTTTTGGGTCCCGTAGCCTTTGTTAAACATAGCAGTTGCGGGTCCCGAGTCGCCGAGTGTAGTCACATAAACACATTCGGGACTGAGACTCTGCCGGGACCTTCCTCCACGCACTTGGGAAAGTTGCTCTGTGGGTGCAGCCTATTAGTTTTTAATCACTCGCCTTTGGGAAGCACGCTAATTGATTTCACATATTTCAAACTTGGTTTTCAAAATTGCCCCTTGGATTATTTTGTTCTCCCAGGGATACTGCCCTCGGTCCAGGTACTTTTGTCTTTCACTTACCCTTAACGTGTTATGGTTTCCTTTTGAACCTAAACAAAAGAAAAACAGTATCTAGGCTGATTGTGCTATTCCATCATTTGACCCGAAAAGCCAAATGTTACGTGTTTATCAAAACATTTTGATGTTCAGGAGAAACGAATTTAGAAACAGCATTTTGCATTGCAGTCAGATCTTGGGATGCTCAAAATCGTTTTAAACGTCTAAAACGACATATATAAAAATAATTGTTAGTAGGTGAATCATCAAGCAGGCTTGCTTGAAGTTGCAGCTTTTCAAAAATGGTACTCTAGACATGTCCAAAATTCCTTTGCGTTTTCTCTGATTTCATATGAATTGAACTGTATCGCTGAGAGAAAGGATGTTGAGCCTAGCATGAGAGGATAAATTTGTTGCTATACTGGAAATGGATTTCTTATTAGTATACCTTGATTCCTTTAAAAGAAACTTCCCTCCAAACAGAGAAGTATTAAGCAGCTAAATCAGTTAAATGAGGTTGGAATAGTTTCAATGCTTGAGTTAGTGCAGCAAATGTAACTCAGACATAGGAGAAACATAAAATGTATCATAGTTGAAGGTTTTTCATTTAACTAGGAAACAACTCTAGACACAATATTTAAAGAATTTTTTTTCCTATTAGGCCATATAGTAAATATTTTTGCTAAATTCAGAAAGTAACTTATTTTTAAGGTTCCTTAGTTTTTGCCCTAAACATACCTGTGGTGGTAAGGTAAATTGTTGTAGTCGTTGGCTATTTCTAAAGTGAGTGCCCACTAAACGGCCTAATGTTAAAATCCAGTGGATTTAAGTGGGTTGAAGGCCTCTGGTTGGCCAGTTTTACTTACTGTTATGTGATGACAAATATCCACTATGTTCTTCAGTACAAAACTGCTTTTATTTTAGAGCTTGGTTTTTCATATTTTGTAGCTATACCTAAAGTTCAGTAAAGTTTGGTTTTCAGGGTTCTAAGCTTCTTGTACAAATAGCCACACAATTTGTATGGTTCATAAAGTAAGTCTTGGGAGAAACTCTGTAGAGTAATTTCCTGTTTGTGGCCTGTCAGCTTTGGTATGTGCTTTAACACTTGGTAGGAATACTGGCAATGGTTTTGTACACAGCAGTTTTCTCCTGTGGGAACCAAGTTCTTTCTACTTTAAGAGCAAGCAAGAGGCCCCCTTTTGATTTTCATAATATAGATAAGGTTGCCCCTTTTGATTTTCATACTATGGATAACTAGAGTAAGGTTGCCAGAATCTTAGAAGTTCACATGGGGGAGGGTGTGAGTGAAAAGACCAACCAAACAAAAGCAAACTTAATTTAGCTACATGAACTGATGGTTAAAGAACTTTTGAGTTTTTACATTTTGTCACTATTGTCAGTTTTGGCTTTCAGTCTTAACTGTTTTCCTTATTGTTTGCTTTTGATTCTGTTGGCTTTATGCTTTAGGGTTCCAGAAGCTGAGTTTGCAGCAGGCTTTTTATCCAGGTGCTTTTGTGACACGTGGAAAAGCTGTATATAGTGCAGTCTGGCAGATGGAGGGTTATTCATATTCTTGGGACAAAAATCCTTTTTAGAAGGTGGAGAGAGGCGTATCTTTTTAGATTCTTTGTCTCAGTAGGAGCAGAAGAGACATTTTTAGGTACTTAGTTTCTATAAGAACAAAGATTTTTTTTTTCCATTAAGTACTGCAAAGGTATGTCATAAATGGAACTGTAAAGAATTCATAATCAATTTATTGGACAAATAATATTTACTCATAAACAAACTTTCGGTGATTAGGCAATAAAGCTCTAACTGTAAATGCACTTTAATTTTTTAATGGAATTAGGAAAATAAAAACTCTTGTGTCTCATGCCCAAGGCCCCAGTGCTTAGAGCCAGAAAATTCTGTTATACAGAGCCAATTCTAAAGTATACTTGCATTGTTGTCTATCAAGTGTGAAGGACAGCACTAGCAAAGATGGGATGTGTTAACTCACAGTGTCACTAAGAACAATCTGTCTTTGGGGGCGGGGGTGGAGGGATTGTGTCTGTCACTTTTTGCAGTCCATTGAAATTGAAGATACACCTAATCTTTCAGAAACATATTTGTTGTTGAACAGATGTACACTTGCAGAGCAAAGCTTAATTTGACCTGTTTGATTAACCATTGCCCTTTAATTAAAGAAAATAGTTAAGGGAAGAAAGCAATCTTGAGTCAATTCAAGTTCCAGGGAGAGGATCAGGACCAGCGTGTACAAATAGTTAAGTCAAGAATAAAGATTGGGCAGCAGTCTCATGTAGTGGAGTGGCCTTGGATTTTGGAGTCAGAGAGCCCTCAGCTAATATTTGGCTTCTCACTTATGATGTTAGATAAATTGAACTCCTGAGTCTTGGTTTATTGTTGTTTTTCTGAAAATGGAAGAAGTAATCTCTACTTAAGGTTATTTTAAGGGCCTTGGTTAAAGAACCTGGGATAGTCCTTGAGACATAAGGATTCTCCCCAGTTACTTTCTTGCTCTTCATTTGTAGGTTTTAGTTATTTGAGCCCTTATACCAATGATTTGCCTGCACCATTATCTCTGACCTCCTATAAACCTTTATGAGAAGCAGACATTGAGCAACAAAGGCCTAGGGAAGACTAATGGTCCAAGTGTGTATCTTAAAGCGTAGGGAGAACCGTAGACTCTGTTGGCATTTATTTAAAATGTTTTTAACAAGCAAAGTTATTTGGCTTCTAAGTTCACAGTAGATTAGAGACTAGTAGGTTATGGGTAGGTGTGGGAGGTTAACAGGGGTGTGTGGTGGGTGAGTAGATAGGAGAGTGGGGGAACTTTTAACTTAACTGTCCATTGTAAGAAAAACAAGATAACAGCCTGGTGAGAATAATAGAGATAATCTTCAAAACACAGAACAAGTACCCAAAGCCTGACTAGCATGTCTGGGGCCATTCAGAGCAGGACCAGACATGAAAGTCTAGTAATAAATGTTCATCAGTTAGCTTAAATCTTGTTTAGGAAAAATCTTTTTAAGACTGCAGTAATCTACTTAATATACTTTATGTGGTTATTTGGGATGATTAACAAATGGGGTGGAGAAAATTGTGCTGTAGCAAAAGGACTTATGAAAGAGCCACGGTATCTTCTATGAGAGCTCTGATTACAGACTGAAAGCCTTTTTTTTTTTTTTGCTAGCCAGTATGCAAGAAAGATACCCTTAGAGGTATAGCACGCTATGCCATTCTTGAGCTGCTCATTCTTTTAGTTAGCCTGCTAGAGTGTCATGTAAAAGTTTTTACTTTGGCTTGTAAGATACAGTATACTAGAACTTTCCTGGACAGAGCAAATGTGAACAGTTGACCAGCCTCTGTGGTCAACGTTTCTGTTTCTTAATATTACTAGCTTTTTTTTTTTTTTTTTTAATAATTTTTAAAAGTGCTGATTTTTCTTTTTTTTAGAATTTCATACAATGTATTTTGATCATATTCAAACCCCCTTCCCCATTTGCGCCTCTACCCTACTTTGTCCCCCCACTTCAGACACTATATATTTTTTTAAAGGCCTATAAAGGCTAATTTGTGCTCCCCCAAATGTTGGGTGTGGGTCCATCTCTTGGAGTCTGACTTCCCTCTCTCAGTGGCTATCAATTATTGGTAGATCCTCAGGCCTGGGGCTTCTTGCCTACCTCTTCCATCCATTCTGTTCTTATTTTTTGAGACAGAGTCTCACTCTCACTATGTATCTCAGGCTGGCCTCAGACTTGCTATGTGAACCAATTTGGCCTTAAACTCAGAGTTTATCCTCCCGATTGAGCCTCCCAAGTGCTGGGATTACAGATGTGAGCCTCCATGCCTGGGCCTGATAGGTTTTTGAGCCCTCCTTCCTACTTCAGGGTTGCATTCTGATTGTTTTCTTGATCAGCTGATTATTGGAGATCTTCAATAAGGCAACCTTGCCTGTTTTCACTGTTACAGAAAGTCTAATCTTTTTCATTTTAAAATGTACAAGGGCTTATGCCTTGTCACTAATCAATTTTGGTTACTTTTCAATAATGCTTTCATGCTTTCAGTTAGGACAGTTTCAATGCTGATCTAGATTTACATCTTTAAATTTTTATTTTTATGTGTATGAGTATTTTTGTCTGCATGTATGTAAGTGCATCATCTGCATGCCATAGTGCCTATGGAGGCCAGAAGAGGGCATTGGATCCCTTGGAACTGGAGTTATGGGTGGTGTGCTAGGTCCTGAATCTTGATCCTTTTCAAGAGCAGCCAGTGCTCTTTAACTGCTGAGCCATCTCTCCAGATTCCCTAGAGTTGTATCTTAAACATAGTTCTCATAGTTCTCTCCCTAATCAGTTTGATATAGGGAAACTATAATTTTGCCAAGCCAGTTGGATTTAGACATTACCTATAGTTTGGCCAGATAGCTAAAAATATTAGGGCAAAAACTTTATATCCTAGAG